TTGGTGATGGGAAACCCGCGGGGATGACAATTGAGATGGAAAAAACAATGTACAGAATGATGTAAAAATAAACTTCTGTAATAAAAAAAAATAAAAAAAAGTGATGTAAATATTTTCCAAATAAATGTTGCTAACACACTAAAAAAAACCCTGTCAGATGGGAACGCGCACGGACCCCTCGCACCGAAGGCCCTGCGGAGCACGGCCGAGGGGCTCCGTAACGCTGGGGTCACTCTTCGTCCACTCTTGGCACACGGTGTGGACTTCCAGGCCCGAAGGACGGAGCTGCAGGCACTGCCTCGGCGCCTTCCCTACAGCAGCCACGGAGGGCCCCTGGGCTGTCAGCACCACGGCGGCCGGGGCCGCCCCGCGGCACACCTGAGACCCCCCGCAGCAGGTGCCGGGAAGTGGAACTGGTCGCTGAGGTGATAATCCTTTCGGGGTGAGTCTTTCAGAGTTCCCTACGGGGGCCCCAGGCTTCCCGTGGAGGGGCCCCATCTGGCCCTGGGCCTGCGCCGGCCTCCAGGCCCGCTGCCCAGGCCCGCTGCCCGTCTGCACCGCCCTGCCTCGCTCCCGGTCGGAGGCCAGCCCCCCACCAGCCTTTGGCCGGCCCGGCCCTGACCCTCGGCCTCCCACCCCGAGTCGGGGTGCGGGAGTCAGCCCCGCCGAGAGGGCCCCCCACAAACCACCGAGGAGCAGCAGGCCCCCAGGGAGGCTGGGCAGCGCTGGCTTGTGGGAGACGGTGCTGGGTGCCAAGAGCCGGCCTCCTGCCTGGAGGGCCGGTCACAAGGGGGACCCTGGCCCGGGACCCTCCGGCGACCCTCCCCCGATCGGGGACCCGCCCTGGCGCAGAGCCTGGCACCGGGGCCAGGGGCGGCGACCCCGCCCGCACTCGGGCCCCTACATGGGTACAGGGCGGGCAGGGCCGGGGGCTGGTGCGGCAGACAGTGACCCCAACAGAGCTGGCCAGCAGGGCCCCCCCTTGGGGCCTGAGGGGGGAGGACTCACTTCTGAGTCAGAGGGCAGGGACGGAAGGGCCGGGCCACCCCAGTTCCTGCTGGGCCTCAGGGGCGTGGGGAGGGCTCCAGGCCAGCGCCCCCCCTCCCGCCGGCGCCCCGAGGCCTGCTGGGGCTCCCTGGGCAGGAAGCCCTCCTCGGCCACGCCTCTTCCTGGCCGGGGGTGGGAAGGTAAACAGGGTGCAGCAGATCAAGACGGCCTCCAGGCGGCCACTGAGCTTGCTGCTGAGTGGCGCAGCTGGCCCCTGCGCGCAGAGTGACCCCAGGAGTGGCCGGCGCTTCCAGGGCCCTGGCCAGAGTCAGGGGCTCAGCCAGAGCACAGGCTCACGGGTCTGCAGCCCGGCCGCCCTGGGGGTCCCGGCCGCCCCGGGGGTTTCAGTCACCCTGGGGGTCCCGGCCGCCCTGGGGGTCACAGCCAGTTTGGGGGTCACAGCCACTCTGGGGGTCCTGGTTGCCCTGGGGGTTCTGGCCACCCTGGGGGTCCTGACCAACTTGGAGGTTCCAGCCGCCCTGGGGGTTCATCACCCTGGGGGTCCCGGCCGCCCTGGGGGTTTCAGTCACCCTGGGGGTCCCGGCCGCCCTGGGGTGCCCACGGCCACTCTGGCCACAGCTCTTCTAGCCCACGCGAAGGGCCCCCCCGTGGCCGGAGCGCGCCCG